GTAAGAAGTGCTCAAATAGGACGTCAGATAGGAATCATTCAGGCCAAAACTAACTCTTGTACATTTCAGTTATTCCCAAGAAATCTTTACAATTCTGATAGTATTGGCTATGAAATCAAGATATTGCAATAACATCTTACTGTTCGATAGCATCAATGCTGCCCGAATCGCACTTAATCAGTTGGCGATCAGTGTCTGTAAGTATAGCATGCACTTTGCGCCATCTAAGTGCAAAGTACTGTTACAAGATTGGCAGGAGCATGTACCTACACTCACTATTGCGGGTGAACCGCTTGTAGTTGTTGATAAGTTTGTGTATCTATGTAGTTGTGTGAGTGCTGGCAGAGGGGTGACGGATGAGATTTCTAACAGTATAATGAAGGCTAGGGTGACATCAACTTGAGCCACCTCTGGCGCCGTCGCGACGTTAGCCTGGCTGTCAAAGGTGGGTATACAACGCTTTGCTGCGACTGTCTTGCTCTACGCCTGTGAAACCTGGCCTCCCCGAGCTGAGGATGTGCGGCGACTCTGCGTTTTCGATCATCGCTGTCTCTGCAGGATTGTTTGCGTTCGATGGTATCATCGTGTCAGTAGTTCTGAGGTTCGGCGACGTGCTTGAACACAGTAGGTATCACCATTTGTTGAGTGTCGTCATCTGGAAACACCAGATTCGGTAGCTTGGACATGTGCTGCGAATGTCATCCCAGAGGATTCCGTACAGGTCTCTGTTCGCTAGCCCTGGGACGGGATGGAAAAGGAGGAGTGGTGGTCAGTCCATGACGTGGTGTCGTGGGATGAAGGATGTTTGTGCTAGATTAGCATCGGTTGGTGCGTCACGACTCTCTGGTTGGGGTCCGCGAGATAGCTCGAATCGATGGCTCGAAACGTTATCGGATATGGCCAAGAATCGTAATCAATGGCGAACGTGTTGCAATTTCCTTCTTTCTTCCCTTCCTGATGATAGTTAACGAATACTGTTTGAACTTTTTAAACATGACTGTTTTGCTTCCAGATAAAGTTCTTTATCCGTTCTCTACTTATATTTCTACTTTTAATCTATTTTGTTTTATTATTATTGTGTGGCCCAACTTTTTTGGTGCGATAATGTACCAAGTTTTCTCTTCTGTGTTTAAATAAATAAAATTAAATAATAACATCGAAAATTGCGATTATTTGGTGTAAAAATTGAGCAAATGAATTACAAAATATTGAAAAACAACCCGAGAAAATACCTCCCTCACATTCCATTTAATCAAATAGGCAGTGGATAAACCCCCTTGTCACTAAAAGCACAAAAAGTTGAATATTTAGGCAACAATAACGAGAAGCTTATTTTACATTTCGTTTGAAGAAAATTTGCTCATTCTGTAGAAAAATGTTCAAAGTTTGTTTCCCACGACTATTCATTGGTTTAGAAATTGATCTCAGAACACTATGGTTGTCGTGTTAATGAAATCACTAGAATGCTCATTCATTTTATCAGTCATCGTGTAAACTGTTAGTAAACTGAAAACTTCACTTTGTCAACCCCAACAATTATCCATAACCTTGAGATGAGTTAACAAATATTTGTTCCATTTGAGCGACGATGGAAACTGGGTTCAGGAGGTGGTACTTCATGGTAGACAGGTGAATATTCAGTTTCGAAGATCCATTGGATTTTATATGTGATCTGACACAACGTGATTAGCATTCTTCCACATACAGTGTGAACTCACACTCTGCTATTTGCTAATTGAGGCAAAGAGTGTTGGCCTACTGATGTGTGGTTTGAAATCGATTCACGCGATCCTTGACAGAATGGTAAAGGTCCAGTACTTATGGTGATGAAATGGAGAATATTTGAAGAGGTTATATAATTCTCGCCTAATATGAAAAACTTATAGTTAATATTTGAACAAAGCGAAATAAACAGATTTTCATTGTTGAGAGCTTTTTCATTTTTCTGTTCATCTTGCTAATGTAGATTGTTTTGCGGACATTTTTTGTGGTTGTACATTGAAACGTTGACACAATGAAATCCTTTAAGATTAATAAATTTCAAGACAGTTCCAGGCTCTTATATACCATTGCTAAAACTGAATTTATCCATACAATAGGGAACAGCAGTTAATCTTGTTTTACCAAGGTAAATATATTTTACGTTAATGAACTTTGTTTATTTTTTTTAATTATACCATTTCAGTTTCAGCCCAAGTGGTCTAGTGGATAACGCGTTTGCGTTTGAAACTACGTCTCCTGGACTCGAGCCTCAGTGGAAACACCGTCACTCACTGAGTCATTGGGGAATGCAAGTACATCCTGATGGCGAATCTCAAACAGGACGAAAGGCGCATCATTGATTCCACTGCTAGTCACCACCTACTAATAACCTCGCACAGTTTACGAGCTAGCCAGTTATCTAGCCAGTCCCAAGCCCGGTTAAATAGGGAGGGTTGGGCGTAAGGCTAGCGACCCTACCCCACATAGCCAATCCGAGTGCTATAGAAACTTCAGCGCAAAATATAAATTTCGGTTTCACTTTGTTTTATCAATCTGACTTCCCATCGTTAATTTTGTTCATCTATATTTATGATCGTCCACCTCTTTTGACCTCTATTCAAGCAAACTGCTTGATTTTCATTACTTTTTATATCAGTTTGCATTCACTGTAAGTTGTTTATGTTGGAGCGAAATTCGCAGTTTCTGTTGACGCAATAGTGCCTAGTACGGATGCCTCAAAGTGTAATCGTTTTGGTAGATGGTGACTAGTGGATAATGCTTTGGCTGGGAATGCACGGAAGTCAGGATAAAGAGAGCCATTTAGAACGAAATGCTGATCCTGGATTTTACTTCTAGTTACCATCAAATAGAAATAAATTATTTGACCCTAAAGTAAGTGTGCTGTTATGGCGAAATTTGTACGTAATTATGGAATATTCCTTAATTATTTCTATACATAATAACCAGCTTCAAAACAACATTTACTCCTTTCCATTATATTACTTAATCATGTGATATTAATGCTGTTTACCTTTACTGTAAGTAACTAAATTATTCCAGTATTCTGTTTATTGCCATTAAACAATATAAGGGCGTATACAGCTAAAAAGATACGACGAAGCATAAGGACACCGTCTTATTCCGCTTAATGCATTTTCCTTACTTTGTTCAAATTTATCAGAGGAAATAACTCAACGAAGTTTATTATTGACTGATTTTGGAACAAAGGCAATTGAATACTATCTGCTTCCAGGTAGCCATTATTCAACTGAAATAATTTCAAAATCAGGATATCCTTTACTGTGAAATTAAAACTCAGGTTAGTGTTTCAGAATACACCAAACCTCCATTATGGATAAGATTTCATTTTGATAAATCACACAGTGTTGTACAGTAATATTAACTGATGACGTTTTGAGCATAAACTATCACTCATAATCATATCAAGTTAATATTACTGTATAAACACTGTGTGATTTATCAAAATAAAATCTTATCCATAATGGAGTTATGCTCTACCACAGTGCCCAAGTTTTATACTTATGCACCAAACCTTACAAAATTACACCTTTCAAGCAACCTCGAGTGCTCACCTTCCAGATACCAAGGGTGAATTCAACAAGAGTGACTATCACAAAAATAATTCATCAATAAGTACACCTCACCATATTCGCGAAACAAATAGTCATCATCAAGTGAATCAATCCAATGTGGAATTCACTCTCATTGTATTCAATTTAGTATCATTGTGATGGGATTGTTGACTTGAGCAGTCAATATCTACCATGTTCTCACATTCACCTAATAGTATGAACGTCATGGTAATGGATACTTTCCTCTCCCTGTATTTGTTTGTTATTGT